ATTTAACTGAAGTCCACAAGGGCATTCCAGCACTGTGCAACCCACAGGATGCAACAAAACAAAAGCTGTCTTGTTTTTTTCAAATGCTGTTGTGGATGTCTGCAAGTTAGAGGACTATAATCTCTACATGGTTGGACAGATCCCTTACCAAGGCCAACATCTGAAATAAAAATGTGTATTCAGGAACACTTGGGTCCTCTGAATCAGATGACATGTGAATACTTTACCAAAAACATACAATGACTAGTAGACTGGAAACCATTTCAGTACAGCAGGGAAGCAACATGCCACATTTGTCTTCAAAAGAAAATTATGACCTCTTCAAACCTTCTTCCTGCTAGACATGGAAGACCATATTCAACAATCAGCCTTCGACAGTTCTGACTGTAGCCACAGTGGGAACACCTACTCTTCCGGAGAGAGATGTGAAACTTCCGCTACCTTTCACAGAGATTTACTTGGGCAGGAGTGGTTTCTGAGTGCTTGCAATGCTTAGGGCAAAGCAAAGGTTCAGATTGCAAGCTGGTAATAATTCTGAGACTGAAGAGTAATATGATTTCTTCCAGCATAGTTTCTCCCTCAAAATAACTTCTCTCTAGTCTTCAAACAGTCAAAAAACATCTGCAAAAGCAAAAAGATCAGTTGTCAACAGTGACTGCAAAGCTAAATTTATTTGAGATTTGGGAAGGTCTAAAGCATTGCAAGAAATGGCTGCACTACTGAGAACAGTTCATACAGAAACACCAGAGTTTCCTTTAGAACTACATGCCAAGACTGCAAAACAGCCAAGAGAAACTTGTACAACGTGAATTCCCCTATCCCATGAACACTGAAAGTGAAACTCCTCAATTTAAAGCATTTTAGACAGACTGAGGAGACGCATGTAGAATTATCATCATTTTCTGTAGGCAAATTGCCATCTGATAAACAACAGTTCAGCATAATTTAACATACAGTCTCAAGAGGGCTTGCCCTTGCAGAGAGTAACAAATAACTGCCACCCTAAAAGCACACATTTTAAAGATGCCACTGTGTTTCCAGGGCAAGAGGAACTACCACCTTTGAATTCTGGCCAAATTCAGCACAAGGATCAACTGAACACCAGGTATCAATACTAGCCTTTGTGCGCCAAGACACGAGTAAGGAGTACACTGCTTCAAAGGTCTTCAGAAATTGGTATATGGCATCAAATTCCTCATTTTCCCTTCATATCCTGATTAAGCTACATTGTCTCTAAATACAAGCACACAGGGATGCATTTCTCACCAGGCCAAGGTGAGGAGAGCTGCTGAACAACCCAGTGTAAATAGAAACTGCTTTCCTGAACACAAAGATCCCTCCGTTTTCTCTCTTCTCCCCAACTCCCAAAGATGATGATGATGAAAAAGGGTTTTCTAAATGATTTACATCTAAGTAAAGACCAAGCATGTCTGGGAAGCCTACAGCCTGCATGTTTGTTCGCTTACTTGCATCAGAAGCCCACAAGACTGGAATGTACATTTGCCTTTGCTCATCTTCCGTAGCTGTATTAAACCATGGCCCAGAGCTCTCTCATAACAGGAGTTGCATGAAGCAGCTCTGGAGTCTCCACTGACCCAGGCAGCAAGATCTGCTCAGTCTCACTGGCATTTTTTTCCCCCCTGCTCCATAACCTGATCCAGAGATCAGAAAAAGGGTATTAGAAACATGGTTTTCTACAAGCTATCATGCTTCCCACTATACAGACAAATGCAGTTTTGAACAGTTTTAGACACCACATAAACCAGGTTTTGCATCTTTGCAACTGGCAGGTACTATCACAGTATTCAGCAGCAGGCAAGAAACGTTCTTGACTTCCAGCAAGAGCAGTAATTAAGAATTCATGCTGCAAGAATTACTTTTGAGAAAGGCTACTGGCAGTTATTTGTTACTCTCTGCAAGGGGACTGGAGCATCTCTCCTACGAGGAAAGGCTGAGGGAGCTGGGCTTGTTCAGCCTGAAGAAGAGAAGGCTGAGAGGGGACCTCATAAATGCTTATAAATATCTGAAGGGTGGGTGTCAGGAGGATGGGGCCAAACTCTTTTTAGTGGTGCCCAGTGACAGAACAAGGGGCAATGGGCACAAACTGAAGCACAGGAAGTTCCATCTGAACATGAGGAAGAACTTCTTCCCTCTGAGGGTGACGGAGCACTGGAACAGGCTGCCCAGTGAGGTTGTGGAGTCTCCTTCTCTGGAGATATTCAAGACCCACCTGGACAAGGTCCTGTGCAGCCTGCTGTAGGTGACCCTGCTTCGGCAGGGGGGTTGGACTAGATGACCCACAGAGGTTCCTTCCAACCCCCACTATTCTGTGATTCAACAATTCATCTTTCAGGCATGATTCTACGTCTACTAAAAAGTATTTAAATGGGCACCACGCAATGGGAAATCTAAAAAGTGTTGCTTAGGCACTGCAGCTTGAAGGAATCACAGCGCAAAGGGAGAGGAAATACATAGTACAGGACTGTGCGGGGGCTGGTGTACTGCAGAAGAACCAGTGTACCATGCACTAGCTGCAAATCTACGAGAACCCAGACAGTCCGGACACTTCTTTCACATCGGATGGGTAGTTACAGTTTTGCAATACAACTGGCCAAACAGCTATTGAGAAGATAAAGACTGGGACTCACGCAGATGCATCATGGCCTTAGAGCATAGTTTGGTTCATTTTTTTTCTTTCACTAGTTTTTAGGTACCCGTACACCAGAGAAAGCACTGCAAAAAATGTTACATTTTTGAAAAGACAGTTATAGAAACAAATCTTATTTCACAGAAAAAGCCTGAACAGATCTTCCATGGTTTTTTTTGGCTTCTGTTAGGCTTAACTTCAGTGCTGGTTAATGCTGAACCATTAGCAGATGCGATTTTTCTCTCCTCAGACTTCCCAAATGACTACAGACAACAACATATCCTCAGTTCTAAAAAGCAGATACTAAGTCTAATTTCTGCCATAACATACTTAGGATTTCTGAAGTTTTGTATATATACCAAAGATTACCCACAGTCAGATCATAATGAATATTTCATTAATTGAGGGGTTTTTGCACGTTTCTGAATGCAATAGCAAAAAAGATAACATATCTGCACTGCAATAACCATAACGAACCTTTCAAAGAGTGGTATAAAAGTGTTTGCCATTGAGAACATCTTGATGAAAAAAAGAATGCTGACATTTCTGGCCCATTCAAAGAGGAGAATATTAAGTCCCTTTAAGCTTTCTCCTCCTAAAAAATTTGCACTTGAAGATATGTCAACTGTACTCAGTGAGAGCAAGTTCACTCTGTAGAATAGCGAAGCACTGTTGGAATAGAGGAAACAGTTAAAAAAAGTTTAGCAGTACCTCAAGAAAGCAACACTGTATTCACAAAAATACAGACAGTAGTTTTCAACGCAATTGAAACATCCCTTTGTGAGCACTGAAGACCTAAACTATGACATTTTAAAGTAAGTACTCAGTCCTGTTTCATTGTGAAATTATAACCTTCCAGATGTTAAATACGTACAAGGACACATCCACTTTCTCCCAGCTACTAAAAAATTTAAGCAGCTTTTTAGGTCTGTTCTCAACTGATTAAAAACACGGTCATATTTCTGTTCAGCTGAAGAAGATAAGATACAAACCAACCAAAAAAAAAAACCAAAACAGTATGGAAAGTAAGTTATCCATCATAAAGTAAAGTCCACAAAGCTTTGATCAGGTGAGGGAAAGAACGTAACATACAAGTCCTTATGTCATCCTCTTGCAAAGGAAGCAAAATTAACAGAGACCTTCACAATGACTCCCTTTCTCGCTACCCCCTCAAGCCCCTATGTCCTGTGGAATGCTCCTTCCTTGCTCACACACAAAACCAAAAGCCTCTCCACACTGATCAGACATCGCTGTACTATAATTTAATATACAGAAAAATCACAGACTATAATCCACCCCTCCAAACCTTTAACTCTAGATGCAGGGACAGCAAGGCCCCCAGGGAACACGCGATGAAAATGCCCATTGCTTTTCCAGCAATAGCATCCACTGAACAGAGCATCTTAGTAATGACCTTCTGAAAGAGACTTACCTCTTCCATTGACTAGCGTGCTTAGGGTCTGCCTATCAAAAAGGTTTCATGCATATTTTTATCTCTCTTTTTAAATAATTCAAGAGACTGGTTCATTAGTTCAGAAGTCTCAGTACGAACATGTTACAACTGCCGACCTTTCTCACCAATCATATCATCCATAGAGACCCACCAACAAATCAAGAAAACGGCTGAAACCCTCCCAACCTGTTTGTGTAACAGCCATACCACAATAAGAAAAACTAAGTCTAAACCAAAGACTGGCAGTTCCCACCTGCAACACATAAAACAGGCGTTTCATTATTGCTATAATGAAACTCCAGGGAGTGTGGCTAACAAGACGTGAAAATGCTCAGCTGCACCTCATGCCTTGTAATTCTCCAAAGGTGTGATTACCACTTCCCTCTTGGGCATTATTGTTGGCTTCCAATTATAATGTTCCTTTTGGGAATTAAAGAAATACACCCCAAGTTACAAAGGCGCGTGCTGTACATCTCCTACTGCAAGGAAACGTACACTTTTAATTGCAGATGTAGAAAAATGCCACTTTAAAAAGAGTAATAGTAGAAAATGAACTCAAGAGCACATAAACACAAACCTTAAACATAGAGCAGTACAAGACACAGTGACAGTTCCCTCCAATCACTTGGAGACTTAAGAGAGACAGGTAGGCTTGTCTACACAGTAGTTACTATGTTTCACTGCAAGTTACTGAACTCAGCAAAGAAAATTTGGTGAAGTTACTGTGCCTGTATTACATAAGGAATCAGCCTGGGTTAAAATGGTCCTTTCTGGTGCTACGCATTTGTCTGTTAGTTGCTTAAAAATAAAAATGCTTTTAAAAACTGCATTTTTACCTAAAGAATACAAAAAAACCCAGTTATTTTGAAATCAATTGTGTTTCAAGGCATAAATACATACCTCTTTAGATCCAGCAAACAGCGGAATGTCATGAAACGGGGAAATATATTTACCATCTGCATTCTCTGAAAAATAAAACAAAGATGTGGTATGACAAATCTAAAGATATGCCATAAAATGATGGTACTGCTAACTATTATGCATTACAGAAATGTATGATATGCCACAATTATGCACCAGTTAAACTTTTTCTTATGTTTAATTTCAAGGACTAAAAAATAACCTACGCACAGCACAAGGAATTTGATTGCTTGATAAGGATTCATTAGAACCAAAACTGCTGCTTTAGTGTTCAATACCACACTTCTCTTCTGACTACCTGGCAATACAAGCCATGTAAAGATGAAAAGATCCTTTTATTCTCTTTTCTTCTCCTCCCCAGCAATACATAACCATTAATGGAGAAAAAAATACCCCAGAACCTCATTTCCATGAGTGATCAGTGAATCCATCTGGGTTTCTAGCAATGCTGCCCTTGTGATTTTGCTGTATTTCTAATAAACTAATGACCACAAAAAGAAAATCCCCCAAACTCAATAAGCCAAAGTCTGACCAAGAGAATAAGTAGATAACCGGATAATTGCTTAGACCCTAGCAATGAAACACCATGCCTTGAAACCAGTAGAAATTGACATTAACTTAATGGGGGCCCAATCTACACCTCAGCCTTTCCCACTGTAGAAAGAAACAAAATTGACCGGAGTGGGTGCTTAAGCTTCTCAAAATACTCAGAAACTTTTCAACGTACTAAAAGGTCAAGTACTGCATCAAAACAGAAACATCGACAACAATATAAGGTGCTGACACAAATCTCAAGGAGCTTCTCCTCTGCTAGCACCCCTATTCACAGTAAAGGGAAAAGCAGACAAGGGACTCCATTTAGCTTTGGACTGTACTTTGACCACCTCTGCAAAGAGTACATGGCGGTTGTTTGTCCAGCTCCTGGAAGCCTCCCACATGCTCCTCCCAAATAAAACAAAGTTGAGTGCTAGGCTGCTTATTCCCACTAACCAAAGTGACTTCTCTAGAGGAGCCCCTGGGCTGACAGCCCCCTGGGTACAGAGCACAAGGGACCCCTGGCAGGGTACTGGCCGCCTCCACTTCTCTCACACCAGCGGACGTCAGAATTAAGCGCCTGCAAGCCAACAGACCAAAAACGTACAGAAGGGCTGCCAGACAAGCGGCATACGAACAGGCGACGCCGTCACTCAAACGCGTCATCCCGAGGCTGCACACCCCCAGCTCTCACCGGGTTCTGAGCAGCCCCCTGGAGCGCTGCCCGAGCCCTCCCGGTGCCACGCGCTGCTGCTGGCCCCCCAGGCCCCTCGGGGCTGCGGCCCCACGTTTCGGATGCCAGCCCCCGCCCCGGTTCGCTTCT